ATATATATATATATATATATATATATATATATATATATATATATATATATTAGATTGTTTAAGTATGAATTTTATAAAAGTTGATGTGTTGTGATACGTTTGTTTATAGATGTTAAAATATTTATCGGAATCCCCTTGAAATATTTAGTACCTAAAAAATGTTCTTTTTTAAATAGGGCAGCTTTTCTAAAAAGAAATTTACGGTCAGTTACATTCTGTCGTAACACACAAGAACAAAATTGGGCATAAGTTTGATTTTACAAATGTCACTCTAATTTTTTAAAAAATAACAATTTTTTACGTACGAAATCTTTCTAGGAGATTCTGATAAATATCTTACCATCTATAAACACACGTGAAATACACTATATTGAATAACCAACTTTTACAAAATCCATATTTAACCAATCTAGTATATATATATATATATATATATATACTTATAGCTTATTGAAAATTAAATGTTTACACAAAAGTTTTCTTCTGTTATTCGCCGACTTCAACATATGCCCGGATAACTTTCGAAGCGATAGTCGTTTTTATAACCGGGACACATAATGTGGAAAGAAGACTAGGAGAATATGATACTCACAGGGCATATAGAAGACAAGAGAGCTATAGGGAAACAGCAAATACCTAATGAATGACAACGTATTCTGGAAGTGGTAAAGGGATTAGCATTGCTTAGAGCTACAGAGCATGCAAAGTTCTGGAGAGTGTTGCGGGTGTGTGTGTAGAAATTGAGGATTTTATCAGTTTTAACGAGTTTCTACAAACAAGGGAGCTAATCCAACAATAGCCATATTGGTGGGTGTGACAAGAGCCGTGATCACCCAGGTCGTAGTGGGAACACCATATAGAAAAGAGGATGAAATTATATTTTTCCCTTGCCTTAAAGGTTTCGAAAGTAATAACTAGTAAAATAAGCACTTTGTGCTTAATATGCCGTTATCAATTATCCAAAAAATACAAATACAACAATACAATTTAATTTTAATACAAATTAAAACTTGCTATTCCTCACTTTTTAGTTGCTATCTTTTTTTGCTTGTAGTTTTGTTTCCTCTTTACTATACCTTTTTGGCATACCAATGTATAGGTTTGTGAAGCAAACTTACTAAGTATTATTTTACATTAGTCACGGGTCTAATATATGGTTATATATATTAGGGATAACTGCTTTCTACAGAACGAGAACAAAACTACCACATTATCTTTTCTATTGTAATATAATCCATCTACCCACACAAATCCAACGCAATTTATTATAGATCCACCAACATAAACCTGATTCTATATATTATTTCTGCTGAGATTAGTGTTAAATCATAAGTTCCTTCTTGGGAGATGCTGTCTAGGGTACAGATCTCCAGATACCAATCTTCAATAAAATATTGGTTTCCGGTCACGAATGGCTAGAAAACATTGTATGATTTGATCTTCTACATTTTAAATGTTTTTCGATGTTTTGTGGTATTATATTTTTGCAATTTGTTATTTGTAGGTTCGATCCCTCTTGCCTGCTCAGTGTATGAGGCTTCTTGCTAAATTTGCCGCGGGTCGATTAATATCTTCTTTCTCTTCTGATTGGAATTTAATTTTAATTTTTTGAAAATTCGAGTAGTATTCAGGAAACTTTTTTTTTTTCAAAATTTAAATCGTTGATTTTTAGTTTTAGATAATAAAAAAAGGGAAAAAAGAGAGAAAAAAATTTCGCCATCACAAAGCAAGTTATTTTTTTTTTCCAATTTATTTATTCAAAATTCAAAATTAACACCGTTGTCTGTTGTAGTTTTACATCTTTTTTATTTCTTTTGCTTTATCTTTTTTTTTTTTTTTTCCATTTTTCATTTATTTTCATAAAGGGAGGTTTTATTATTTTTCCAAGAAGCTTCCTCCCTCCAGCAGGAGACCATTTCGTCAGCGCATACACAAGTCTTAGGCCGTAGGGTTAACTGAACACAACAACAGATTTCGACCAATGGGGACTAATGAAGGAATTTGCTTAAGGTCATTACTGATCAGATAACCTGCATTGTGTTTTATCGTTTTAAGACCTTCCATTATTCAGATATGCATCATTCTTTACTTTATAAGGCCTTCTTAACTTAGCGTGTATCTCATTAGTTATATGGTCCAGTGTTACAGAGTTTTTTTTTTTACTGCTTGCGTAAAAAAGGGACAATAAAAGAATTCTCATTAATATTCTCTCTCTCTCTCTCTCTCTCTCTCTCTCTCTCTCTCTCTCTCTTTTACACACACATACACACTTTCTTTGTATGTGGGTGGGTGTATCATGTTACTTCAAGAGTGAATGATCATGGCTCTCCACAATTTCCTTTGTTTTACTATTTTCTGTACTCTTTCTCCTCTCTGTCTTTGCGGGAAATTGTTTATCTATTTGCTCAAACGTATCCCAATCCGTCCCCTTTCCACACTTGTTCCTCCATCCATTTCTTCAAACTTATTCTTCCACCCACTTACACACACTTGTTCCTCC